GGTATCTTCAATTTGTAATTTGAATGTTGGGCTGTTCCTTTTGTTAACAACCATGCATTCCGTCTTCTTTCAGTTGATGTTTAGAACTTTCTTCTTGCTTTCCTTCATAACCTTCTGTAGGAGTTCATGTAGTTTCCCAAGAACACTGTGTCATCTGCATATCTTATGTTGTTAAGATTTTGGTCGCCAATAACGAATCCTGGTAGGACTTCTAATTCTCTCAGAATCGTCTTACTCTATCGTTTAAATAAATTCGGTGAGAAGACACATACTTGTCTTGCACCCTTTCTATTTTTGTATATTTGCTGCATTTATATCCGTATGCACGTAGTTTGCTGCCAGTATAGGTTCTGGATTATTCTAATTCTGAAACTTCCACGGACGGAGCGAGTAAGCAGGAAGAACGTCTTAAAGAAAATGGTAACAAAAACAACACATACTCAGAACCAGGAAGAGACATTTGGAATTCCTTCGATGCGTAATGAGGAAGTTCTTGGAAAACTTTACCTCCACAGGCCATATTGAGGGCAAGTGGAAGGCAGCGAGACACCTACAAGGCAAGCTTGTGTGAACAGATGGCGGAACGGAGACGTGAGCCTTAAAGGGAGAAAAACTGCCTAAAGGGACGCGGCACGTGGCACGCGTCACGCGGCACGCGGAAGCATAATTTCTCAACATAATATTCTTATTCTTAAAATGCCATATCCATTCAGGACATAGGCGATCATGGCACTTTTTTTTTATCTGTGAATTACTATCCATTCTTTTGGAAGATATTAGAGTAGTTTCTCGTTGCCTTCTTACGGTTTGGAATTCAGGGTTTTACTTTTCTTAGAGTGGTTGCTACTCAAGGCCCAGTCTACTCTACTATTTAACCCATAGCTGGTAAGGGGCGAAGAACGGATTCATCCCTTTCTCAAGGGAATTTGTGTAAAAATGAATGCAACAAACTAACCTGGAAATCGAACGTTGCAGGTTGGTTACACTTTCCATGCCAATATAGACACATCCCAACAATCACTGTAATCTCTGATTTGGTTTTGATTTGTCTGTTTAACGGCACATCAACATCTTATGGGTCATTTAATGCTGAAATTTAATTTTCTTGGGAGCTTGGAAGTAATAAAAGTGTTATTCTACTTTCAGAATTGAATACATGGTAGATAAAACTTAGCTTCTGTGCATATACATGTTTGTGTGAACATAATTACTATAAGCAGTGATATGCGTGTTTTATGCTGTAGTTTTGTTGAAGTTATATTTTGGAATACAGTTTGATTTAAGAATTTGTCGGATATTATATTGCTTAATGTCATGAAAGTGTTCTTTCTTGTTCGTTGTTTGGTAGTATTTTAAACGGATTTGGGTGAAGCCGCTAAAATTTGTAAGTATGTGCGTGTTGTTGGTAATTTTGCTATAAATAGGTATTGTCGGTAATTTAAAAAAAAATGTATTGCTGCTATTTTTACTATAAAAATGTATTTTTATACTTTCATGGAGTTTTGTTTGGGGGTTCATTATTTGCCCGCAGTTGAAACTCTAACATGTACTACTTTGGGTCAGGGTGGACCCTGAACAACAGCATTTGAGAGGCTTTGCTACCAGACGTATTTGCAATAATCTTTAAAGATATTTTAAATTATTAATCACTAAATAAATCTTTTATTATTCTTGATTTCATCTTATGAATTCTTATTCAAAACATTTACTTTAATAATTTTTTACAGATATATATATATATTTTTTGTTAGTTGAGATTTTCAAAAAGTAAACTTACAGAATATAGGAGATTTTTGTGTTTGTAGAAAATATATTCTCCTTCATGGTAGTTGCTGTAGTAACTAAAAAAAGAAAGGAAAAAAAAACAGTATTTTAATAACAAAAGCTAAAAATAATACGCGATTCAAAATACATAGATAAGACTTAAAATGTTAGAATTGATTCTTGACAGTTATACACGTTTAACTTAGTTATTTTTAATTTGATAGTTTACACCCGAGTTAGCACGAGACAAACGGCCTTTACAATGCTTTGAAGTGAATAAGTATATTATAGAAATTTGATGACATGCTTTCAGAAAGTTAAATACAAGTACACGCTTAAAAAAATATCAAAATAGTCTTACGAAATAAATAATAGATAAATAAATTAAAAAACAGTTGGTAATAATTAGAGCAATGTTAACTAATACCCCGCTGACATGCTTTTGTTAGCTGAGCGTCTTGTATATTCACGGAGAAAATCAATCCAAGTAGCAGCTAAGTCTGTTTATCAAGTATGAGTAAAAAAGAGGTTCTTTATCTCTTCATACAAACATTTCCCAATAGTAAAATATATTAGGTACATCACTTTTGTTGATAGAAGTATTTCTTTCATACGAAATTCAAGCTTTGACAGTCACACCCTTATCGTTCAAATAACAGAAGTCGTCGTCACCATTTTTAAAGCTGAACCTTCCTACTATCTTACATAACAGAAATTCTTTGTTTTGAAAACACTCCTGAAAGAGCTAAAAGTACATAAATCATGAGGTTATTAAATTTTAGATATATTTGTCTTTTTATTTTTCTTGTAATTTTCGTCAGTTGAGCCATAGAACTATTTAATTCGCAGTTAGTGATTTAATTGAGTTCATTTATTTTAACTGCGTCAATAAGTGTAGAACAAGATCCCGGATTTTGAATACACCAAACAGTAAGGCCTTCACATCACACAGACGAATACATTATGGCATTTATTTGTACATCCACGTCGTACAAATTTGATGCACATCCCGGATTTCAAAAAACATTCCTTGCGTCCAGAATTCATTATGAATGCAATGAGCATTCTAAGTCGTCATTAACAGAACCTATATTTTTATTTTTTTAATCGATTCACCTCAAGCAAAGCGATAATGTCACTAGGTTACTAATAGTGAAAGGGAAAGAAAAGACTTTGAAAGGAACCGGAAACCTAATCCTAAACAGGAAATAAGGGATAAACCTTAACTTCTGCTCAGATGGATCTACTGATATTGATTATAGAAAGTTATTTAAGTTTAGAAATAAGAGTAGATGTTTAAGGGGGCATAGTAAAATTTTATGCAATTATTGTTCATAGAAAGTCCTTTAAGATTAGAGGTAAGAGGAGATAGTAAAATTTTAAGTAAGCATCACAAGACATGCTTGTTTTCATTTCTTCTCCAAGAGAATCATTGACAACTGGAATTAACTTACAGGTAAAGCAGATTTTGCTGAAATAGATCAAGAATTTAAACATGTGCTAGAAGAAACCAAATACAGAAGAACCAGAAAGGGACTATACATTGACCAAATTAATCAACAAACCAACCAACCAACTGATATAATATAAACTCTTGAATATCTGGGCTTGGTCGTTTTCATGGAAGCCGAATACAATAAAATATCAATATTTGGTCAGTCCGCCTTGAAAGATTAAGAACTTGTAAATAATCACTTGTACATTCAAGGGGAAGCTTTTAACAATCCCCATATCTTATAAACAAATCCTTTTTATAACTGGGGAATAAAGACCATTGAAAAGATATCTGCAGTTAATAGATATGGCTGCCATGGTCTTCTTATAGTTATACTATTGATAATTTTTAATAGCGGGGGCGAAAGAAAAAAAAACTGATAAAGAAACCCATGGTAGTTCATGACAGATGGGAAGAACGAGTGAGTCGAATGAAGTTGACGGATGACTGGAAGTGGGACACACTATCGTAATCCCGATGACGGTATCACATGAAGAAGGATACCTAGGACTGAACGCTGTTACAGTGAATTTATAGAGTAGATATTTTAGTATTATTTTTTCAATACAAGGCCTAAGTGCCACTCAATATAGAGAGTTACTGAATGAGTATAAGTGAGAATGAATGAAGAAAAGGTACAGGTTATGAGACTATATAGGAAAGATTTTAGCATAGACATCATGTGCCATGCGTGATACACGCTTAGGCGATCATGTATCTTTCGATACATGACTGAAGAGGCAGATTTTTTTCCGCAGTAGGTTGCCATTTCTTTCTGCGGTAAACCAGTTGCAATCCAGGGATATAGAACCTTGTCTGTCCTGCTATTTACCCATAGCTGGTGGAGAAGAAGCGGATTCATACCTTTCTCAAGGGTATTAGCACGTAAGTGAATGTAATGTATTCGACTGGAATTCGAACTAGGTTCTTCGATTCCTCAATCCGAGCCGATATCCATTACACCACCCTGAACGTATTATAATCTTTTCTTTTTTTTTCATCGGAAACCGTGGAACCGACTTTCAAGAGGATGTTTCCTCGATCACTATAATTTTAACCTTTTGAAGTCTACGGTTAACCGTCCCCACCTATCTGCATAGACTGCCTCCTACTTTGGAACCCTCTACCTTGAGTGGCACTCGGGCGTTGTACAGGGTGAACTTCATTTCAAAAGAACAAAGAAAAAAAAATAATGATGTGTTAAGGATTTTGCTAGTCACACACAGGCTGCCCGTTCACTGGTTGAAATGAGTCTCTGTTCAAATTGGCCGGACACATTCTTGGCATAGCACAGGTAGCTTACCGACAGGTACAGCAAAATGAAGACGAGGAATTCAAGTTCAGTTGGCAGAATATTAAACCGATGCTTTGAAAAATCTCTTCATAAAAAATGTAGCGAGAAGGAGCAAAATATTGTTGGCATCATTGTGAAGATTGGGTTCAAACGTCATGTGAGGACTAGTAACAAAGTAACTGAAAGGCTATGCTGATAGATTGATTTTTTACGGATTATCAATCTTTTGCAATTATTTAACGCCAGTTATTTTTTAGATCGTAATAATTTTTTAAGATACGATTTACTTACTTATTAACTCGTAGCTGGGAATAGAAGAAGTGAATTCATACCTTTCTCAATGATATTTGTGCGTAAGTAATTATAACAAGCCTGACTGGAATTGGAACACGGCTCTCCGATTTCCAATTCCGAGCTATTATTCATTACACCACTTTCACATCCAAGCTTACAGCACTTGGTATTTCTAAGTTGTCACCTATCTAGGTACTGACCAGGCTCGATGTAGCTTAACTTCGATGTTCATCCGAGAACCGGTGTTTCAACGTGATATAGACGTATGCCTTAAAGGTTACAAGTGGGTTAAGAATGCAAAAAATGGAGGTATGTTAGATTAAGGTGTCCAAATCAACGGAAAGAAAAGAATAGTCGACACAGTAAAGATATTAGCTGTTGTTGGGTGGGTGGTATAAGCCAACCCTGGGCAAGGCTTGGGTAATGTGTTGGATAGAAGATAAGGACTGGCTCGTAAAACGATTAATTACAGTGAGGGTTAGGGACGAAGAACCGGCCAAGAATAGTTAGAATCCGTGAATACATGTAACCCCGCTAAAAGTGCTTATAAGCACTTAATAAATAATTTTGATTGTTAAAACCACATATGTCTTAAACTTCCATCCTAAACACTTTAGAAACATTTCAGACCCTTTTAAAAACATTTTGAAAAATAGTATTGGTGACCATAAACTTAGCGTAAATTTTCTTTCGTGCGTACAATAACCGTATTTAATTACGCATAGATCGATACAACCATCGAAAATACTGTATAAAATACGTGTAACAAGATATAAAATATAAGGTTTAAAACATTTTCTAAAAACAGAACTGTGATGATGCCCTCAGACTTAGCATAAGCCACTTTTAAGACACCAGCCGCAACCCCTAACAAAGAACAAAGCCCAAGCACTTTGTATGTTTGTTACAATGAAGATGTACAATTCTGCCAATTTTTACTATAAAAATGGACTGTTATATGATTTAAGTCACTTAAATAACAGGAAAATAATACAAGAATATTTTAAATATGTTCTATCGAAAAAATACGCGAATCGAGGGAGTTCTCAATGAATAATTTGTACATATGTTCGTCAGAAAAACACGCGAATATTCGGAGTTTCCGAGAATAATAAGTACATATGTTCTAAAGAAAAATCCGCGAATGTGCGAAACTGCAAATACTGAAACGCGAATAGGCGGGGGCTCACTGTATAGTGAATCATGATTAAATAGAAGAGGCCCTTACGCCTGGAAGAAAGAGTGCACTCAGGTTCTCTAAACCAGATTTGAATGGGATAAGAGAGGAGTGACCCAAATGAATGTGTTAGCGGCTTGAAAAGAACGAGAAGGAAGACGCCTTAATTGTTGAGTGTCAACGATTGGCTCTTTAATAAAAAATGCTGTTGGTAAGTCGTTTGTTGGAATTGTAACGGAAAATGTCGCATGAGAAGTGATTATGATGATAAAGATAAGAAAGAACGGACAACAAACAGTGTTGGATTGAATGACGATAGAATTCGTTTAGTGAAGCATAAATCGAGTTTTTCAAAGGGGATTAATTGATTTGTCTATTTAACGGCATATCAACTTCTTATGGGTTATTTAATGCCGAAATTTAATTTTCTTGGGAGCTTGGAAGTAATACAAATGTGATATGTTATTCCACTTTCACAGGTGAATACATGGTAGATAATACACAGCTTTTATGCATATACATGTTTGTGTGGGTATGATTACTAGAGGCGGTGATGCGTGTTTTACGTTGGGGTTTTAATGAAGTTATATTTTGGCATAAGTTTGATTAAAAAATTTGTCGGATATTATATGGCTTAATGTCATGAAAGAGTTCGTTTATGTTGGTTGAACTCATAGCTCTTTGGGTCATGTCGCTGGATCTAATTAACTAGTGACAGGACCCAAAGAGTGTGAGTTCAATACCTGGTTAAGGCAGTGGAGAACTTGGAGAGGAGAATTAACAGGAGATAACTGATAACTGACAGCCATTAGACACGGAACGTGGAACTAGAACAGTCTACTCCAGCGATCGAAATAAAGGGTTCAGTTCGACATTCCAACCACATGAAGAAGGCAGGAGCGTAGAACGGCTGAAACGCTGTAAAAAATATGGTAATAAAGATGAGGACGATAGTCCGAACAATGTAAATAGGGCTAAAAACTTATTCAATATATAAAAAGGCCTCAAAAATCGACAAAAACAACAAACTGCGATCAAGAGGACTACGATCTAAATGTCTGTACCAACTGTTCTACGGCTCTTTCGCGGGGGTCAGTGTAGTTCAAATAATTCTAAACCCAAGCCCAACGAGTCCTTCTTCAGGAGGGCGGTGGGTTTTATTAGATAAATTGCCGAGGGGGCTTGGGTAAATTTTCCACGTTATTGCCAGTAAACCCACTTTAAACTTCAACTCCCTCTTTTTTTCTCCTTCTCTCGCCTACTCTCTCTCCCTCGCTTTCATCTACTCTCTCTTTCTCTCCTTCTCTCACCTATTCTCTCTCACACACACGGTGGAGTAATGGATAACGGCTCGGATTGAGGAATCGGTGAGCTGAATTTGAATTACACTCGAATCCGTTACATTATCTTACGTGCTAGTAGCCTTGGGAAAGGTATGCATTCTTCTCCCCCAGCTATGGGTAAATAGCAGGACAGACCGGGTTCTATAGCCTTGAATGGTAACTGGTCTACCGCAGAAAGAAATGGCAACCTACTACGGGACAAATCTGCCTCGTCAGTCATGTATCAACAGATACATAATCGTCTAAGCATGTATCACGCATGGCACATAACTAACTGACTTGTATCACATTCAATATCGACTTGGGCGGGCTGAAAAATACAATCTGTTTCAGCAGCAGAAAACCGGCCTACGGCTTAAGGCAGCAGCAGCAATTCCGGCTAGCCATCACCATTATAATCGCCAGCAGCAACAGCAGCCACGGCTCGCTACCCAAAGACTAGATTTGATGTGTGAGTGAGAATAAATGGATATAAAATAGGGTCATTAATCCATAAGGGTGTCGCCGTATTAGTGTTAAATGCTATTGCCATTGTGCGTTTGGGGTCGAGAAGGGAGCAGTTAAAGCTTTAAGATTTGATTGTCACAGTATAATCGTGATGAAATGAGAATCTTTAGAATGTTATTATTGCCTGTCCCAGCGGGGAAAGGTGTTGCAAAGTCTTTATATAGCTTTAATGCTGAAAAGAGGTTGTATTACGCAGAAGGTGCGATATGAAGAAAAGAAAAGGCCTAACCAAGAAAAAGGAAAATAAACGGGGGAAGAGATCTCGAAGGACTATTGAATTAAAACAAAGCGATAATGAATTCTTATTAAAAAAAAAATAAACAAACTGAGAATGACTTAAAAAAAAAAAAAAAGAGAAGAAGAAGAAGAAAAAGAAGAAGAAATATTATTAGTAGTAGTACGTTTATCTTGCGAAATAAAGGTAGCGCCCTCTTTGGTCAGAATTCAGTCCTTTGGAGATGAATCTGGAGTGATCTCTCCAGAATGAAGGCCTTGGTGATAGTATATGGAGGCCATACCCTGACCAGACTATATGCGCCACGTTCTCTCAATCGTACCGACAAGATCCAAAGGAATACAGTTCATTACATTTGGGGACGGCTTCTTACCAGAAACTTGTAAGCCCACCACCTTCAGGACTCCCCTCCAGGTTTTATGTCTGGATTTACTTCCATAGCATTTTCCGTGTTTGGATATGACAGCAAGGCATCAGATATTTAAAATCAGGGTTTTCCTTCCCCTTTCTGTGCTTGTCGAACTCCATCTACCCTTTCAGCTGGTTATGAGGCGCCAGTTTTCCACCTTTGCCTATTCTCTGGCTTAGAAGAGCTGGAGTTGTCAGAGGCTATTTAAGACGCATGCTATAGAAGCATTTTATAGACAGTGGGAGCTTCTCCCTAGCTATAACAACCTTTGAAACATATATAATGTACCTATATAAACATTATACATTATGTGTTTTAGAAGCTCAAAAAAAGCACCCACCCATGAAAATGAGACTACATCGAATATTCATAAACAAACGAGAATTAGTAGAGAGAGCAATTCACGAAATGATTGAGGCTGGATTTGTGAAAAAAATCCAATTTTGCTGATGTTTCTTCGTTGTAATGGTTGGAAATATAACGAAGGACAGCAGATATCTTGTGTAGATTTTAGGACTTCAAATAATATCACATAGCCCCTAATTTATCCTTCGACTTAATCGACTGTTGAGAAAGGTAACTTGCTTAGCTATACCCGATTTATTATCAGGTTACTAGCAGCTCACAGCAGCGGTGGGGAACCCCTGACCGTGGGCAAGCCTGATTGAAGGTCCCGGGCAGTGCGTTGCGACCCTCGCTATCTTATAGTGATTTTCCAAGCGTAGCTTGGATGTGGCACAAAGCCGAAAGTAAGAGGCACCCAGTGAGGATCGAACTCACTACTCAGTCGTAATTGTTCTAGCGAGACAATCTTGCTAACCATTACATTGCTTCGAGGTGCCCCCCTCGCTATCTTATAAACATTTGCTTTTTTTTCTACCTTTTTTTTCTACCTACATTTATATACGTTACAAATTAATCTAGGCCCGACTGACTATTAAAGGAGCAAACATTTTCTCAGATTTTGACGTCATTCTGTTTTTGTTTCCATCTAAATACGTGAATTTGTTTTGCGCATGCCAATTCTAAAAAAAAAAAAAATTATATGCTATTCTCTATTTTTTATCCATAATGTTTAATGTGTCAAAATTATTAATCTTTTTGATAAGAAAAATCTCAAGTTGATATTAAAAATTGCCGCGAAACATTGATTTATTTCAGATGGAATGATCTATTATGGCGTGTTTCTAATCTATATTTATATCGTATTTATTCTCAAATTTTCTAGTTGAATTGTTCACCTATATTGAATATGATCCATTATTGTACATAATCAGGTTACAATAAAATTTGTATTTTATATGACTACTACCTTCTGGAAATTGAGAGGTAGTAGAGTGGCGTGGGGGGGGGTCCCGTATCATAGATTCGGGAGTATCATAGATTTGGAGGGTGCTACGAGAGCCCTGCACCAACAGAGAAAACTGCGTTCGTATATCTGAGTTGATGTGTTTTAGGTTAGCTGGTACACCTGGATTTTGTCAACAGTTAAAAATGTTTATAGGGATGAATGTAATTGTGTTATTTTCTGTAACCTAAACAGACGACATATTTTTCTCAAAGCATTTTCGACATTTTGAAGTTACCGAAATGTC